GTTTTTCAAAGACCTCAAATAGCACTCGTCCTTCGGACTCGTGCTATTTTGAGGTCTTTGAAAAACTCACTCGTGCATGTTATATCCAAATTGCACTCGAAACCATGCTATTACCTATACCTAAAACACTCATACGTGTGATTTAAATAGTACATAAAAAATTATTATATTTACGAGTTACAATTTACCAACTTCGTCTCGTGAAACACTCTTATATCTTTAATAAGAACAAGTTGTCAACACTGTCGTTGCAGCATTGTTACAACTGAACAATGTTGTAACAACATTGTTGACACTTGACAACTTGTTCTTAGGGTGCAGCACAACCTTGTTTAAGCCTGTCGATATCAACCGGGAACAGGTTGTTCGTTTTTACGCGTGTATGTGTATAGATTTACTCCAAGTCTGCCTCCCAGAGGGGTTTTTATTTAGGAGTTTTAAAAGGTGCGCAAAAATGCTGACGGGAAGAATTTTAAAGCTCGCCCCAAAATTGTCCCCACTCGCTCTATAGAAATCCGGAAGATTTTTAGCCTGCGCGCAGACTATATAATGACATTATATAGTCTGCGCACAGGCTAGAAGATTTTCAGCACGTCTAATACATATTATGAGGGAATTAGTTGACCACCAAGGGCAGTACAGTCTCTGTTGGTGAAACCCACCAATATACTATTTATCGTAGTAAAAAAATTATCTTCAAATACATAATACAAGTATCGAGATATTAAAATTCTTGATGTTCAACAGTTCAGTCCAGTTCCTCGTCCAACGTGGTGACATTATGTTCATCTGTCGTTATCGACGTCCTAGAATTATCTGTCGTGGCGGTTTGTTCTGGTTTATTTGGTTCTGTGGCAGTAGTAGGTTTATCATTTACACAGGTTTTATTGGGCTCTATTGTTGGCGAGGGACTCCCTTGTCTGGGTTGTTGCGGTTTCACAGCAAATTTCGCGGCATTTTGACGAGTTCCTGGTTTATTCTGTCTTGGTAGAGGGATAGGAGTTCTCTTCTGAGATTTATCCTTGGAATTTGGAATTTGTTCTGTCAAATTAGGTGGTGTTACACCCGGCTTGGAGACAGGAGAATTATTAGGACAGTTCTCGGCGTTGGGAATTTCAAGGGTTGAGGAAATTTGTTCAAGGCTTGGTTGTTGTTGGTTGTGTTGTGGTTGGTTACTTGGGGTCTTTTCTGTGGGGTTAGATGGTTTCTCGCCAAGGGAATCAGATGTGTTAGTTGAAGGTGTTTCAGTTTGGTTATCATCAGATGTGGCTGAGTTAGGTGATCTAATGATAGGATTTTTCGTTGTGCCTTTTTGGTCAATGGTTTTTTGCTGGAGGGTTGTGGTACATGTACTGTCTGGTGGTCGTTTTTCAATATTTGCATTTGGCTGGTCATTTCCAGGTGACAAAACTTTGTTACTGGAGTTGACTGAGTTTTGTGGTTCGGTGGTGGGGGATTTATTATGTTGGTCATCACCTTTTGGTGGGGGATTTATGTTTGTTTCTGATAAGCCCGGTGGTTTATCGCTATGAGAACTTGGCTGTTCATTTGAAAGTAATCCATGTGGGGTATTGGAAGTGGTTATGTTTTCTTGTCCAGTTATAGTATTTATTGTATTTAGTGATGTACTCTCTTGGTCGTTGACTGGTAGTTGGTGGTTTGTGGCACTTTTGGTTGAGATTGGTGATCTTTCACTTCCGGGATCTGTCTTGGTATTTGAGCTTTTTTGTAGCATTGAAGAGTTTGGAGTTAGGCTTTGTTGGTTCTTTACTGGTGTTTGTTGATTTGTGGTACTTCTAGGAGATACTGGTGGTGGCTTTTCACTACGGTTATCTTCCTTGTGATTTGAAGGTGACCCAAACTGGTTACTAGATGTGGTTGAGCTTTTTGGTCCCATTGAAGGGTTTGGAGTTATGCTGTGTTGGTTCTTTATTGGTGTTTGGTGATTTGTGGTGCTTCTAGGAGATACTAGTGATGACTTTTCACTACGGGTATCTTCCTTGTCATCTGAAGGTGACCCAAACAGGTTACTAGATGTGGTTGAACTTGGTCCCGTTGAAGGGTCTGGGGTTGTGCTCTGTTGGTTGTTCACTGGTGGCTGGTAACTTGTGGTACCGTCTAGAGAACTTTCTGGCGTAGCAGTTACTTTGGTCTTACCTGGTGAAGATGTACCATCCACTTCTAGTGTTGTGTTTTTTGTTCCTGCACTAGATTTTGTGCTTGTCCCATTTTGGTCATGCCGTAATGGCCGCAGAGTTTTAGTACTGTCTAGTGAGGTTGCTGGTTTAGCAATAAGAGGGTCTGACGCCTTGCTTCCACTGGCTTCATCTTTTTCCATGATGTTTGAGTTTGGGGATTTATCGATGTTACCTGGTGGTGGCCGGTTTGAAGGGTTTTCAAACGGCTGAGGATTTCTGATGGTATCAACTGATGATCTTGGTGGTTCAGCACTGCGAGTGTCTGTCTCGCCTGCACAGGGGGATCGGGATATGTTTTCTGGCGGTATATTTGGACGATTCCCAAACGACTGCGGATTTGCAGTGGTCTCTAAAAATCTATGTTGTTTGGCATCTGATGGTTGGTTCAAAGATCTCATATCGGGATATTCTGAGAGGGGATGTTGGTTGTATCGTGTATTTCCAAGATCCCTTGTATAACTGTTGGCTGAGCCGAGACCTGTCTCATTTGGCCAATGCCCTTCGTCGGTCCATCCTGATTGCTGGTATCCCTGATGTACGTTTTGCTGATAAAATTGGCTCTCGGGTCTTGAGTTGAAAGCGTGTTCACTGCTCACGAATTGCCCTTGTTCAAACGGGCTACCGGTCGAATTTGTCGTGCCATGTTGATTGGAAGTCGGGGCATGCTGATAGAAAGTCTTGCCATGTTGATTGAAAGTCGGGGCACGTTGATTGCGTGCTGTGTCACGTTCGGTCAAATGCGTGCCACTTTCGTTGAAATTCGTTACACTTTGTTCGGAAGTCGTGTCACGTTGGTTGGAATTGGTGTCACGTTCGGTGAAATATGCGTCATCTTGGTTGAAAGTCGTGCCATGTTGGTGGAAATTCGTTCTACTTTGATTGAATGGCAAGCCCATTTGGTTGAATTTCGGGTCACATTGGCTGAAATTCGTGTTATGTTGGTGGAATCTCATGCCCGGCATTTGATTGGAATTCGTGCCATTGTTTACTTTCGTGCCAACTTGATTCAAAGTCATACCAGCTTGATTCAAAGTCATGCCATGTTGGTTAAAAGTCGTACCATGTTGGTTGGAAAGGTTATCATGGTCGACGTTTGTTGACGGAAAATCTTGACAATGCCTTCTCCACTTAAGTTCAAGTATTTCCCCAGCTTTAGTTACTTGACTTAGACTGCCCGAAACCATTACGCCGTAGACTGAAACTTGGCAATGTACACCACAAGTTCTTTGGATTATATTAAAAACGTCGCTCCAGAAATATTGTGTCCCTGTGTTCATCAGCACGGGATTGACTGTAGCAGTCACCATATAAAACACTGGATCGATCTGCAATGTTGAAAAAGGTTTATAAAACGTATTGGTGTAAAGGGGATATTATACAAAAATAATGTAAAATACTGAAATGAAAAAATTTACAGTTTTTACAGAAAAAATTTACAGAAAAATTACAACTTTACCGTATCAGAAACGGGTAAACCTACGCCGGAACGGAATTTGTTTTTTTTTTAAATAACTATTTTGTGCAAGGCTTGGAATGGCCATATGCTATGGCCATAAATGGATCAGTGAACGTTGTATATAACAGAGCAGTCGTATTTTCTTATGTAAACCGTACTTTTACCGCAATCATGTTAACGGAAACGTCATTTTTGGCTTTACTTTCACCATCTAAGTTGTAATTTGAGTATGAAAAGTGATCGATTCTGGAAGTCAGTTTCAGTCAGTATTAATAAAATTAATACAAACGACCGCACGATCATCCGAAAAAGTCAACCTAAAACTTTCCATGTCTAGAACTTTTTGGTCAGAACTTCAAGACACGAAATGAAACCCGACCTGCAAATGCAAGGATACTCTTTTGGCACGGTCAAGCGCTGTGCCATATCCACTGTTTATCTGTTCTACCAACTGAATACCGGGCGTAAATTCATATTTTCGTGATATATTGTTAAAAACACGATATTTAATGTTGATTATCGATATACAGCAACAGCATACTGCGCAGAGGGCTGCATACCGCGCAGAGGGCTGATACACAATATCCACTTTCTTGACATTATCTTCCCCAAGGTTTTACTCCAGTTATATATTAAGTCCAGAAAAAATCAATTCTAGTACTCACTGATACTAATGATATCCCTGCGACAGTTGTTCTTTCTTCCATTTGTCTTTCTTCTGGTTGTAGTTCTGCCTCTGGAGTTTTTCCAGTGTTCGGCGTACCAACCACTTCCGGAGTTGTTACTTCCAGCGACGTCTTTATTTCCGCTGCTGTCTTTACTTCATGTGTCGTCTTCATTTCCGGTGAACGTTTTTTGTGGAGAAAAGTAACGGTCACGGATTTTCCTTCCATTTCTTGTGGTGTTGTGACTATTCTCCCTGCCACTAAATAACAAAGTCTATATATATTAAGTATTAAATCATTGTCAAATTTCTATTAGAAACTCTCATTAGTATTCAAGGGTTTTTGTACTGTAGATGAAAATTCCAAGTGTAAATTTTATAGAAAAAATGCAATTATAGCCCTCTGGCAGGAATCGAACCTGCGGCCCTGCGATTCCCGTGCAGTGCTTTAACCAACTGAGTTACATACAGGATCCAGATGTCGAGCTAACTAACCGCAAGGTCATGTAATTTTTTTAAGTTGATGCCATCAGGATTTCGGGCATCTCACCGGGTAGAACTAAATCTCGACAACTGGAGACGGTCTATTACATTCGAAATTTTCATCTACAAAATCCCTTCAAGATTTAGTTCTTTTGAGTGAGATGACCAAAATACTGATATTTATGCATAATTCTTGGTGGAATGTCTTTCTTTAGAACTACTAACCTTCAGGATCTTCAAACACGACCAAAGCTGTGTTCCCTTCTGGTAAAACTGTCACTTTCTCAACTTCTCCTCCACCATTTTTTTTCTTTTGAAAATGGATATGAAAACCGCTTTCAGTCACTCCGTCGGGAAGGTTAGATACCAAAATTGTTCTTGATTTCTCAACGTTTTCTTTTTCTGACTCTTCATTGTTCGGGTTTGTTTCTGTGTCTTTAAGTTTTACATTCAAAACTTTCCCTTTGAAGACTTGTTCTCGATCAACAACTTTTTTCGCAACTAAAAAAACATACAAATTTAAGAAAGTACCGTATACAGCATGCATTCTGACAAGTTTTCTAGTAACATGCTTTGAACAAGTTGTTGGAACAACATGTACCAGGTCATTGAGTCATTAACATTATAACAGCTTGTTTATAAGGCGTGCCTACGCCTGTATCATGCGTGGAAAAGCTGTTTTTGAACAACGTTGTTACAACTCTTCTTCAAGCTTACAGTACACACGACTTAAACAGGGCTTATACAGGACGCTTATAAATACATTTCTTTGTGCAGACAAACAGCGGCAAGGATTTCCCTTTTTATTCCTTGTGGTGTCGTGACTACTCTCCCTGCCGCCAAGTAATAAAGCTCATAGCTCGGATCAAACTAGGATTAAAGTGCATGAGAGTTGGCAATCACGAAATTTTGATTAGCTGTTCTTAATGTTTCTCCAATATTATTTTTAAGTTAAAACATAGTTGGAACACTTGTCGAAACTATATTTTGTTAATCTAGAGCATTACATGTCTCATGTAATAATGTGTGACTGTCAACTCTCATCCTTGTATGACCGAAGCTTAAAGCCCCGGTACGTGAAACGAGACTGAGAGTTGATGAGAGTTGGCAGTTACTAATTGTTAGGGAGACATTTCAAGCTCTACATTGACAAAATAAAAGTTTGATGAGTGTTTAAACTTAAATAAAATACATGATAGTGTTAGGAAAGCATTAAGAACAGCTAACCAAGGACGCATGACTCATGCACCCTCATCCTAGTTTGATCTGGGCTTAAGTCATGGTGAGATTTATATTAGAAACAGATTATCTGTCTTGACGAACTTGAGTAAAGATAAGATGGTAGATTTTCGAATAATTTGTCTCTGTATAAACGCGCCATGCAGACAAATCTTCCGCCAAGAGAAACAATGTGTGAGCATAGTTCGTCTTGACAGATGGTCTGTTTCCAGAATTATCAACTGTGCCGGTAAAGATCACAATATTTTAGCTACAGTTCTTCTGGATAGTTTGCCTTGTCAGTTTATGTTGTGATTAGCCGCCAGAGAGACAATGCCGGCTCGTCTCGAATGATCGATCTGGCCACACATACAATGATACAGAACATATTGAAACGCAAGAGTAACTTCTTTGTAAACAAAAGTAAACATTCTTAGAATGACTTTCTTTACAAGTACTAACCTTCAGGATCTTCAAACACGACCAAAGCTGTGTTCTCTTCTGGTAAAATTGTCACTTTCTCAACTTCTCCTCCACCATTCTTTTTCTTTTGAAAGTGGATATGAACATCACCTTCAGTCACTCCTTCAGGAAGACCAGATACCAAAATTGTTCTTGCTTTCTCGACGTTTTCTCTTTCTGACTCTTCATTGTTCGGGTTTGTTTCTGTCTCTTGAAGTTTTATATTCAAAACTTTCCCTTTGAAGACTTGTTCTCGACCAACAACTTTTTTCGCAACTAAAAAAACACACAAATTTAAGAAAGTACAGTATACAAGAACATTTACCACATACGTAAAATCGTACTTCAGCATGCATTCGAACAAGTTTGCTAGTAACATGCTTTGAACAAGTTGTTGGAACAACATGTACCATTATAACAACTTGTTTATAAGGCGTGCCTACGCCTGTATCATGCGTGGAAAAGCTGTTTTTGAACAACGTTACAACTCTTCTTCAGGCTTACAGTATACGAGACTTAAACAGGCTTATACAGGACGCTTATAAATACATTTCTTTGTGCAGACAAACAGCGGCAAGGATTTCCCTTTTTATTGCTTGTGGTGTCGTGACTACTCTCCCTGCCGCCAAGTAATAAAGCTCATAGCTCGGATCAAACTAGGATTAAAGTGCATGAGAGTTGGCAATCACGAAACTTTGATTAGCTGTTCTTAATGCTTCTCCAACACTATAATGTATTCTTTTTCAGTTAAAACATAGTTGGAACACTTGTCGAAACTATATTTTGTTAATCTAGAGCTTTACATGTCTCATGTAATAATGTGTGACTGCCAACTCTCATCCTTGTATGACCGAAGCTTAAAGCCCCGGTATACGTGAAACGAGACTGAGAGTTGGCAGTTACTAATTGTTAGGGAGACATTTCAAGCTCTACATTGACAAAATAAAAGTTTGATGAGTGTTTAAACTTAAATAAAATACATGATAGTGTTGGGAAAGCATTAAGAACAGCTAACCAACGACGCATGACTCGTGCACCCTCATCCCAGTTTAATCTGGGCTTAAGTCATGGTGAGATTTATATTACAAACAGATCATCTGTCTTGACGAACTTGAGTAAAGATAAGATGGTAGATTTTCGAAAAATTTGTCTCTGTATAAACGGGCCATGCAGACAAATCTTCCGTCAGGAGAAACAATCTGCGCAGTTTGTCTACGCAGGCACATTTACACGCATAGTTCATCTTGACAGATGGTTTGTTGTTCCCAGAATTATCAACTGTGGGAGTAACGATCACAATATTGTAGCTACAGTTCTTCTGGATAGTTTGTTTTGTCAGTTTACGTTGTGAGCAGCCAGAGAGACAATGCGCATCTCGAATCATTAAAACGCAAGAGTAACTTCTTTGTAAACAAAAGTAAACATTCTTAGTGGAATGACTTTCTTTACAAGTACTAACCTTCAGGATCTTCAAACACGACCAAAGCTGTGTTTCCTTCTGGTAAAACTGTCACTTTCTCAACTTCTCCTCCACCATTCTTTTTCTTTTGAAAGTGGATATGAACACCACTCTCAGTCACTTCTTCAGGAAGGTTAGACACCAAAATTGTTCTGGATTTCTCGATGTTTTCTCTTTTTGACTCTTCATTGTTTGTTTCTGTGTCTTGAAGTTTTACATCTAAAACTTTTCCTTTGAAGACTTGTTGTTTATTAATAACTTTCTTTGCCACTAAAAATCAAAAAGATTTAAGAACGTACAACAACATGTACTACACACGTAAAAAAAACAGGCTTGTGGCAAGCTTGTCAACAAGTTGTAACAAGTTGTTAGTTTTTCAAGTTGCTGTTATTCACAATTTGTTGACTAGTTGTTGAATTGCACGACGATAACAAGTTCTTGGAACGACTCGTAAGTTGTAACCAGTCTATTGAATCAATAACCTTGTTGTAAGTCGTTGACAACTTATCAACAAGCAATGAGAACACATGGACCGGATTAGGATTATTCAGGACCTGCATTATATCTTCAGCCCGGATCAAAGGCGCTTTCGACCGATATATGGTCGCATTTCGGGGAGAGGGGGGGGTTGCTTTCTGAAATTCCGTTCTTTCCCATATAAAACACTTTGTGTAAAGGAAAGGAAGATTGCAGTCAGAAAGCTCGGAGACGGCTGCATTTGCTACTTCTCTATGTGGTAAATTATAGCCACTGTATATTTTTAATATTGTCGGCTGCACGTGGTATAGACACTGTTAATACGACAAAAACAGGAAAAAAAGAACCTTTCATATCTTCAAAAACAACAATAGCTTCCTTCTTTGCAGACAGAAGTATGACTTCTTTGATTTCTCCTCCACCATTTTTTTTCTTTTGAAAGTGGATATGAACACCGTTTTCTGTGACTCCTTCAGGAAGACCAGAAACCAAAACTGTGCCTGATTCTTGCTCCGACGTTCCAGCTTCTTCTGATGTTTGTACATTCGCACGTGGTTCTGTCTCCATAAGTTCAATATGGACAATGTTTCCTTTTATTTCTTGCTCTTTAGTGATAACTTGTTTAGCCACTAGAAAAGAAGCAAAAGTACTGGGATTTTTAGTTAGTTACCGTTTTGCAGTTTACACGTACAGGGCAAAACTCAGGACATACTATGACGCATCACGCGGCATACCAGGAAACGTTTGGTAAAAACATTTGTCGGAGTACATTGGTTAATTGCAGCCAATATTGATATGTGTATACATACAGGACAAAGGTTGAATACTCTGAAAACAATGCTTGATCATGATCTTCTTGCAAATTAATTGTGTCCGAATTAACTGTGTCCGCATATCCCCATGTTTCGTGCACGAATATATTTCTCTTTGATTTTGAGTCTAATTACAAACCTATCCTTAACCCAACTGTGCTAGACTTGCTACAAGTTGACCTCGTAATTGACTTCCAGAAATTCCTTACTCTTACTTTAAAATTTATTTACTTTAAAAGAAATTACTTCCTTTAAAATTTATTTGTTCTAAGCAAAGATGAAGGACTGCGAAAGTCTACTACTGTGCATGAAATATAGGAAGTGGCCACATGAAAACGAGACCATTGGGGCAAGCATGCGATAAATGATACAGCTTATTTGTAGTGAAACCTTTTCTTTGTGGCCAAATTATCAAGATTTTGAAATATTTCTAAAACAATTAATATGGATCAGAGATTACCAAACAACAGTACCTACAAGCTTTAATGGTTTTTATTTCATTTTTTATGCACTTACAGTCGCGTTTGTTTTGTCTTGCAGCACTCCAGTAAAACGTACCTCGAGATTCCTCGAAAACGACGATTGCTTTTCCTTTCCCCAACAATTCTACTTTTTCAATTTCCCCTCCGCCATTTTTCTTCTTTTGAAAGTGAATATGAACGTGGTTTTCTGTCGTGCCTTCAGGAAGATCAGAGACCAAAACTCTTCTTGTTTCCTTTTTTCTTTTTTCATTTCCTAATTTTTCCACATTCTCTTTCAAATTTTCGGTTCCCAAACGTTTCACTTCCAAAACTTTTTCTTTGAATATTTGCTCTGTATTGACAACTACCTTTGCCACTGGAAAAAAAACCCAACAAAATGGCGCCAATTTACGGCGTGGACAGCGCAGGCATTAAAATAAGGACTTTTTACAAGGACAAACTTTACCTCGAAGCCAAGGGCAACAACGTGTAGAACGCAGACTAGCTTGAGCTCAAATACTCGTCAACTTTGAAAAGGCTTATTGAATATTCGTTTTAGTTCAGTGCCTTTGTAAGGCAAAAATTTGTTTCAAATAGGTCAATAGCTTTTTACTTTCACCGTAACTTGAACAACCAATAACTTTTCATTTTCACCGTAACATGAACAATAACTTCATATCTCGAGCCACAAAATCGCACTGGGTATTCAAATGTGACTAATGCATATGTCAGTGCAGTATCAGTAAACATTTTAAAATTTAGGAGTCACAGAAGCGCAGTTTTTGGCACTTTTGGGCCGTTTAGACCAATGGTTGAGGCTATCTAACAAGTACATAAATCATGCAATCTAAATGATTCTAACTAAATTTTTAATTGTCTATAATGAAAATCCTTAAAAGCGAGTCCTGATTTTTGTAGCATGATTTTTGCGGATATTGTCATTACCATGAAATCACCTATAGGAACATAATTGAAGCCGTTGGTGATTTTACAGGCATTAACGTATCTTCACATGTTATAAACAGAAAAACCAGAAATATATAAACCAGAAATATATATCTGGCTATCATCAGACAATAAACACATGATTACTTTAAACAAAAATGGCTAGCTAGGCAGGCCCTCAGTTTTATGGGGGGGGGGGGCTGATTTGAGCGGGCAGGATTTTGGCGGGCACGGGGGAGGATTGAGCCCCCGTATGCGGATGGTTGAGTCATAACATGAGCCTGAAACTGGTCGTTTTAAAATATACATTTAAAAAATATTCAACCATTTAATCATCCTTTCGTCTTACATTTAAGTACAATAGAACTGCAATTGTTCTATTATATCTAATGTAACTCTTGACGAAGGGCGTTCGCTCGAAACGTCGAGTTTTTTTTTTTAGTTTTTTTTCAGGTAGTAATACAACCACTCAGCACAGCAAGTTCACACTAGTACTACCTACACTGGTACAGACAGTTTTAAAATGAAGAAAGGTCTACTTACTGTAAAGGAAATTTGTAAAGGTGATTTGAAGCTTGATCAACGGTTGGACTAACAAATCTCACGGTATTTCAGGAAATGATTTTTATTGATCAAATTCTGCATGTTTGAATGCAAGAAATAAGATTTCTGACTACTTGTTTTCTATTTTTCAATTCTTTTTAATCGGACGAAAAATGTATGGGGAACAGAGGCAGAGGGTTAAGAAACAAACATATTCCCAGAGCGTATACATATGCTTTCCCATCTTTACATCTTGTCATTTTTAGTGCAGGGAATAGCATTCTAATGACCATAAAAATTAACCAATGATTCGACGAACATACTCGCCCCCCCCCCCCATTCTGTTTATAATTGCAAGTGAAAAACAGCTTTTAAACATGGTTTAACAATACTTCGATATGCATATTGTATATTCCAGTCTCAGCTACATGTTATCATTGAACTCAAAGTTAATTCCGATTCAGAACCGCGCATCATTTGGAAGTACGGTGGAACCCCGTTAATACGTTCACCAACGGGCCGAAATAATATGGCCGTATTAACGGGGTGGCCGTATTAACGGGGTGAGATCAAATTTCAATTGTGACGTCATTAAAGCTATGTCTATTCGAAAATCACAATAACACCATACCCCACCATAATACCAATTAATAACTAAACATTATAAAGTTCAGATAAAGTTTTCACTAATTTTAAGAAACAATGTTAGGGAATACAACGTCGTTAAAGAATCTTGTATTCTTTCTTTTCCTTTGCGCGACTGATAATAAAAATAAAAAATTAGTAATATGATGCAATTTGAATTTTGTGTTTCACTGCACAAGGTGTCTTAAATTATACTGCATTTCCGTCCGTAAACACATTTATTTTTTTGAGTGACCTTATTAACGGGGTGATTTCTTTAGTTCGGGACTCTACAATATGGCCGTTGGCCGTATTAACGAGGTGGCCGTATTAACCGGGTAACTTTATTATAAAATATATTAGTATTTCGCCGGGACAAAAAAAGTGACCGTATTATCGAGGTGACCGTATTAACGGGGTGGCCGTAAGGCGGGGTTCCACTGTACACGTACTTGAAATTAGGAAGTAACTTATTTGGAACATCGCCAACTTCAACAAACCTTTAGCATTTTCAAAAACCACCATTGCTTTCCCTCCTTCTAGTAATGTTATTTTTTCAATATCGCCCCCACCATTCTTTTTCTTTTGAAAGTGGATATGAACAGTGCTTTCTTTCACTCCTTCAGGAAGACCAGAAACCAGAATTGTTCTGTCATACTATTTAAAACAAAGATACCACGTATCATGTATACTAGCTGCATTAGCTACCAAACATACAGTCTACCCAGAAATATTCTGATACTGTGTTCTCGTCTCAATCCCACTTCAACATAGCAAATTTCTTTATTTCCTGAACAGTAGAGTGGAAGTAATGAGGGCAACACAAAAGAAAATGCTATGGTGTTTGTTAGAAGGCTTAATTATAATGCATTCTAAAAGCGTTACACATATAGGCCCATGCTTATCACGAACCCCTCTGCGGTTGAAACGCACCAGAACCGCGATTGCAAGGCGGCTGCAGTCATGGGACTAGCAGTCATAGCTGTTATGGTTTAGACAAATGAATGACCTTCCTGATTGGATTTCACTTTAAACAGTTGACACCCCATAAGGTGGGCCAGAAAGCCATGCTTCACCCCACTCCTCTTTTCCGTTGAGTAAAAGAAAAACGTAATTGACACAGTAGGTTTAGTTCCCCCCCCCCCCGCCACTTCCAAGTTCACCCGCATCCCCCCTGCCCCTTCCAAACACAGTGCGGTGTCTTCATCATATATTCAGAATCAGATGTATATATACATTGTAATATATCAGAGTGATTTCACGCCTTGCTATATGTTTCATACTAAGAATTTACCCGTCAAATTGCAAAATACAAAATTTGTAAAATTCTGTCTCTACAGTAGGTATTATATATTTATGGCGACAACTCAATATTGTTAATATGATCCTGAATATTCTGCGAACCACGCTAAACTATCCATTGGCAGTTAACGTCGAGGTGAAACACTGTAGTCCACTTGATATCTATTAAATTCGGATTGAGGCTGCAACAGGCTAGAAACACTGTGGCTATATGCCATCGCGAGAGTACAGGTATTAATGCTCAGTTCATATATAAAGTCGTGAGATTTATATCTCGTGCGTTGATATATGGATTCCCAGTTGACTCGAAAAGTCATTTCGGTAAACTAAAAGCGACAGCACGTTTCAGGTTCAGCGTGTTGGATTTTTACTGTGAAATGCATATGTAATATCAGTATTCCCCTGCCCTGATTATGACCCTGCAAGAGAGTGGCGTTGCAAGGCACTTTTTGTCTTGTACCTTATCGTAAATTAATTAATACATGATTATATAAACGCAATTCATTCTTGCTTTCCAAGTATTAAATGTCCCTGCTTTCTAAAAGACTAAATTTTATATTTATAGGAGACAATCAACAAAGATTCAGCATACCTCGTCATTCGAACTCCCAGAATTATCAGACAAGCCACTCATTTTTATGCCGACTAGTTCCACGTATTCAAGTCAGAATAACTTTCAACAGCTTAAATGAGGTAAACTTTACCGAATTTAACTGCTTACGCTGCTGTGAAACTATTATGTGTACGACACATTCATTTCTGCTCAAAAACTTTGACGACATTAACTGGGTTTAGATAGCTCACTTTTAAAATCGAAAGTGATAATATCCGGATATTTGTTTATATTTTTGCAACATGATACGCATGAATAATTATTATATCGTCTTCATGGAATCCGTCTTCCTGGAACATACTGTATGAACGAATTTGATGTGATGTATGTTTTATGATTTGAGTATATACTCAGGCTAAACTTCCGTGCACTTTAATGCTATAATACCGTTGCAAATATCTATCGAAAAGGACCTATTTAGGATTTTATTTGAATCAAATACCGAGCATTTAAATTGTTTTAGTTTCATTTTCAAAACAATATATCGTGATATCAAATATTCATTTTGCCAGGAAAACAAGAATATATTACGCTTTCGTAGTTTCATTTCTCAATTTGCACGTCTCGCTTTCTTCTTTGGATATGTCTGTATGGAATATATAGCGGAATTATTAACGAATCTGTCAGTTGCAAGAAACCGATCATGGGTACAAGAAGCTTCGGCGTAAAGAAAACGGTCAAGGTTTCTGGGGTTTCGCAACTTTTGCGAGACCAAATTGAGAAGGAATTTCAGACGAAGGGGAACTCGACTGGGTATAATGACGATGTCAACAAATTACATGTCTGCCCGAACGGAGAAGATTATGTTCTTGTTGAATTTGAGAAAGACATACCAGGTAAGTGTTCAAATAGTTGCATCTTATTTCGTACATTGCTTTGCAGAATGCTTGCATGAGAGCAGGTCAGAAATCATTTTAGTTTTTTTAACCTGTTTCGAAAATGTAATCGATAATCAGTGTTATGTGCAGATGAATATTATCAGCGTTGTCCCAAAATTCAGACAGGTCCGAGAATATTTCGTGTTTACAATTATTCCGCTTTGTCTCTGACTCGAGTTGGGTCCAGTTAACATGCAGGATGACTTCAGACCACGGACTCCACTGACACAGTTAATAGTATGACCAAAACTAACTCATGAACACGGGCTCTTACCATAGTACCGCATGGTACTAATTTTACTGTGTTTAAGTGTAGGAGAGTCAGTAATATTAATATTTGCCATAATATCATAATTGTCCTTACCGGTGTCACAGTGATTTCGGTTCCCCCGTGAA